AGCAGAACATTTTGAGACGCTTTCGCAGCAGAGACGAGTTCGTACACGTATGGCCTGATGATATTGACCTCCAAAACCGCTGTACCATCACTAGCATGAATCTGTCAAGTGGAGGTACGAGATGAAAGTCGTTTTACTGCATCGTTTAGAAGTAGATGAGTGTGTTGCTTACTTGCATTATGTGTGTGTTCCTTTGGGATAACTAGTTGCTTTTCCTCATACAACGCTCGATACTGCCCGTGTGTTGTGGGTTGAGCACCTGCAGCTGTGGTTGAAAAATGTGGATTTTAAGGGCTCCTTCTTAGAATTTAGCTGGAATACGCTGTTGGTTCAGTCTGCATTTGGTACCGGATGTGGCTATTCCTTAAGCGCCAGTGTTAAGTCCTCTGACGTCACTTCACGTTGTAATAGCGACATCAAGTAACTTCTTCAAGTGGTGACCTCATTTTGCAGATAGAATATTTGCCATTTCTTTATAGCATTGTTTTAGCAATGAGGTAGCGCAGTGTGACATGAGGCACTGGTAATTCAATGTGGTAAAGTCTGGAGGAAAATCCAAAATTGAGGTGGACCACTGCGTTAAGACGAAACATTTCATTGTGAAGAAGATCTAGTCCATAGCGCTGTTAAAGGTGAAGAAGCCAATGGAGGCGTATATGTGTGAGAATGTAACAAATGTGGTTATCACAGTATTGACGTACTTCAAAAAAAACCAACGTCAGTCGACGATAGAAGCGGTCAAATTATCGGGTTGGAATGTGTTGCCTATCATGAATGAGCCAATGGCAGCTGCCACTGCTGACTGTTTGGACAAATAGGGTTGACAGTCAGCGCAACTGGGAAGAAGAGGAAGCAGAAGAAAAAGAAGATAAGGATGATTGCCTCCTTTGAACTTGGTTCCCTGAGCGCAAAGCAAAACTCGCTTCAAGCAAGTACTGTGGATTATTTTGGAAGAAGGATGACAAATTCGATTTGAGCAGAAAGCTGGTGTGTACTACACTAAGTGTGATTGGCGCGCTTTCGCCACAGACAGTACATGGATTAGTGTCAGTTTGAATGACAATGTAGTTGTGAGGGCGAATCGACGCCATCTCCTTCCCTAACGCGCCTCTTGCAAGTGATGGGAAAGGAACAAATGAAAAATACCTGCCTACTTTTGGTAGTATTTCAATGTTCGAGAGCGTCTGGATTTGAGTAATAGGTGCTGCTCTGGCAACCGAATAGGGTTTTGAAGCCCCACATTATGCTTCTTGTATATATTGCTGACCAGTATCTCTTTTGTACATTTCACAAATGCTGTCTTTGAATACAATGGGTGTTTAGTTCAAACCGGAACTTTGCTTTTATCTTTGGAGAAGTGGTGTTGTCCTGCTCTTTCACTAGCCCAAACTGTCTGTTGAAAATTTGTGCAATGGGTGCATAATATTTCACGCATTCAACTTGACATTGTTTTTGACGGGATAAACCATCATGGAAAGAAAATAATCAGTTCTGCCCCTAAGAGTCGCATAGTAGGTCAACCCTCTCCCTCCGCAAGCATTTTTATTCTGCAAATACTTCCTTTCATAACTCAAGTTGAATTTCGCTAGAATCAGATGTCACATGTGAGCCCCTCCCGAATGCCCTGTTCTTATTGGCCGGGACTACTATTGACTCCTCTGTCAAGCTGTCAAGTCGTAAATTCACCATCGGGGTTAATAAAAAGCAGATTTGATAAGTCAGAGTTGTGAGACTGGGTGCAGACATAAAATGCCTTTCCTAGCAGTCGCTACCTCAGTATACGTACTAATGCCGCCATCTGTATCAGGCTTTAGTTAAAAGTCCATTCCACGTTTTCTGATTTGACTGGGTGTGGAGCCTCTGCTCTCCTGGTTTTAATAAAACGCGACACTAGGAAAATATTTTGGCGCATCTTTAAGAGAAAGAAGGAGAAAAAGCAAAAGGAAGAAGAACATGAGGGGGAAAGATGTAAAAATGTCATCATGGTAACTGCGCCTGTCTGGATGTGGTTAATGTTGTGAGACAGCTCAACCTCTCATTCACTGGCACGACGCCCTTTCTTTTTATTTCGGCCTCTAAACGATGTGAGTCTTGGAGGCACCTTCGAACTACAGCTAGTGGTTGAGCCGCACACTTCACTCACGACTTTCACCACATGAAGCAACTTTTTCTAAGCTGACAATTCAAGGCCACCATGGTTAGGCGGCGTGAGCCTCTGCCAAATTCTGTTGCCACACTCAGTGCTTTTTAACATTTCTGACGGAGACAAAATTGCACTCAAATGCCTTTTGTGGTGATTATTTTTCTACGCTCCTCTGTGTTGTGCATCTACGCGACTACAAAGCAGTGAGAGAAGTGATAACATGGACAATAACATTACGTGAGTCCCCGTAGTTATGCAGGCAGACGACGTTCATTTCTAGTCTATGCAGCAGACTGCTCGAAGAACATATAAAACCTCCCAAAGGTATGGTAGGTAAAGCTATAAGCAGTAAAGCTTAGCATTACACCAAATTTCATTGCCTTTGTAGCAAGGGTGGGGTTATTCTAATCAAGAAGCTAGTTTGTTGACAATTCCTCACCCACTATTTCAGAATCGTCATTTCAATATGGTTTTGTGAAGAAGCGTACTTCTGCGATGGGTAAAATCTACTGGCTCGACGATCGAAAGATTGGTAGGTGGGAAGTGTGTGGAGTGATAAAAACTTCCTTAAGCTCAACAAGTTAAGTTTTCTTAGCCGGAGTGGGTAATTAGGACACAAGGACTTCATCGCCGACGTCTTTTTGCCGACACGTGTTTATGTGTATGGGCAAAAGACGAATAAGGGTGGTTCTGTTCTCTTGTAAATTGTCTCCTTATAATAGTTTCCACCCTACCGTGGTGTGCACAGATTGTGGTCGATGAGAAGAGTTGACTGAGAGCCGGAATAAGAAATACCCTTGAGAGTTTGCAAATTCAAGCTGCGAAAAGACCTAGGAGAAGCATGAATGTGCAAGCTACCCAGCAGAAAAGAGTAGGATCGTTTTCGACTGTGCACAAAGACAAGGTTGAATGCGATTCGCTGGAGGTGATAAAACGCCCTCCTACAGATGTTCAAGCTAAACTTCAATTTGTTGCACTGCAGACAAGCTCCTTCGATATGGCTAAAACTTTGCTTTTTGTGCAAATGGATGAATAAGTCGTGGCACTGTGTGGCGCAGCATCTTATTACCCTTCTCCCATCACTCACGCCATCGTTCTGAAACTGCAACAGGTCACGACATAAACCACACATTGTTAACAGATTATCAGCTTCTCATGTCAAAAATTAGAAAGCACGTCACATCATAAATGAGGTGATGCTGATCAGCTGTCTGCTGTCTACTTTCTGTTGTATCTTGGAAAGCAAAACAAAAAGAAATTTCAGGCAAAGGGATTACCTGAACTTGAATTAACACCTCCGCTTACGATGTGCCTTACTGACATTGAAGTTGAAGGATACGGGTAAGAGAAAGGGGAAGAATTCCAAAGAACACGCAGCCTTAGAGGCAAGTCACGTCTCATCATATCCTACCAGCAAGCCATTTGCAGCTCCGATGCGTTCCTTAATCCGTTTCTCGTTCCATCATATTTTTAAAGGAACGTCCTACCAGCAGACCATTTGGGACACTGCAAGGATGCTCAATCCATTTCTACGCGTAGATTATAGCTAACACACTCCCTCTATTGATACACAGAAACAAGTTGGCATGGATTACATTGTGCACATTCTACGCAATTTCAAACAAAAAGAGACCATTTAGACTGATTTAATTGTGTGCAACCTACTTCACACCACTCTACTCTATTCTACTTTACTTGAATGCATTCGAATGCACACCACTCCTGGTCCTAGTCAACATTACTCCACTTTTCACCTTAGCCTCTGGCCGGAAATCATGGAGAAGTTGGCAAACAAAGATGAAAGAAAAGAAGCTTGAGTAATCAGTTACTCGATCCTACCAATGCAAACCGTGGTATTGGAACCAGTGGACTAGACAGCTTCTGAACAGACTGTAGACACTCAATATCGAACACATGTGGATTGATAGTGGTGAGAATGCACACACTCTGGAGTCCTGGTATATCGCAGTTATTGTCGAGTTCTGTGAACCAAATGACATTTAACATTAAGTGGTTACGGGGCTAACAATAGAAGATTTGGCACCGCATCACCGACTGCCCGTTAAACACATCGCCTCGTGATCGCGTCGAGTGACACTTAGTGGCTAATCATTGCAATAAACTTCTTACGCAATGGTCATGTCAGATGGTCGAGGAAGGTTCGAGTCATCGAATACTATATTACCCCCTTAGATGCAGTAATCTGGTGTAGCATAAAATGCTGGAGTAGGACTTTCCTCAAAATACATAAGTGACAATTGAGACATCTAAGACATCTGATCCAAGTCCAATAGGTCCCCAATAGATAGTTGAAATGACAGTGACCCAAAATCTGTCATAGCTTCATGCCACGCCATTTGTCAAGGGAGGTTTCACCTCATGACAATGTTTCGAGCATTCCTATGTGTAAGCAAGAAAGACGATTAAGCCGCGCAGCAATGTTTGTGTTCATGGTAACTCTGCGCAACTAAATATGATTGCAATCGTTAAACAGCTTGATCTCTCACTCAACGGCACTCTCATTGCACATACACTTGACATTCCTTCTCCGCCTCTAATTTCTACCTCCGCAAAGCTGGTACACGCGAAGTTGGCGATGTGATGAGCGTCCACCTCGTAATCACCTTCAAACTACAGTCAGTAGTTGACATCAAACACAAGCTCCACCTGCGCCTATCACCACGTCTAGCAACTTTTCGCTTTAACGTAGACGGTTCAAGAGCCCTGTGGATAGACGACGTGAGCCTGCTTCCAATTCCGTTATCGAACTCAATGGTCCCCTTTGATTTTACTAGTCATTATATCTTAGTCTCCTCTGTGATTAGCATCTACGAGGCTGCAATGTAGTGGAAGAAGTGACATTATGGATAATAGCATCACATAATTTTTTGAGTAGCTCTGTGAACAAACACCGCCCATTTCTAGACTATGCAGCAGAGTGAATGAGACCTTACAAGGGTACAAAAAATCACATCATACGTCACTTCAACTGTCTTATTCTAGGTGGAGATGATCTGTTCAAAGTGTCAGTTTGTTGACAACTACCGAATAAGTTAAACTTGAGTTATCTTTTCTCATCCACTATTCGATTGTCATTATATAGTTGCAATATGTTTTGTGTGGAATTAAACTTCTCTGCCAAGTGAATTTGTTGAAAGATTAGTAGACAGTGATTGTCTTGTTCCTCCTTAGTTCACGTCTAAATCTGCTCTTCTTCTTTTGAGAGTAGAGCAAGCCACGTTGGGCTTTTTCTGAAATCCGACTTTAACGCTACGATATCATCAAGTTAGTCCCCTACCGAGTCTGGTAATCAAGGTACAATTTCTCCATGACTTGCGTGACAAAGCCGGGGAGGTATGTGATTGCTGACTGGGTGATGGAGACACAACGTGATTCTATTATCAGGCAATTTGTATCACTTTGAATGGCCTTGACCTCACTCTAGTTATAAGTACACATAGGGTTTGTCTTCATGTCATAGTGGCTAACGGGAGCAGAACGAGAGCTCAAATAGAGAAATATCCTTGAATGGTCTGTATATTCGGATTACAAATTATAAGTTCAACGAGGCTCAAACGGGAATGATTTCTGTAGTTGTCGATCTGGCTAGCACCTTTTCAATTGACATACTTTACCTGAAAGTAATGGTGAATTAGATCTTCCTGATCTATGGGACACTTTTACAACTGATGCATTCTCTCAAAATGTGCTTGCTGTGATAGAGAGCAGTCAAAGAAAAGGCGAGGAATGTACTATTGTAAGCAGACTTTTAAGACAGAAATTGTCGAATTATTTCCATCCATCATTTAATGTGTCAAATCTTTCTTTATGAGAACGCACAGGAGTTATACCTTCCAACCTAAAACAGATTATTTGATTGTGTAAAGTCGCCAATGGTTAGGTGCTCCTCACGTTTTGTCATACTTTCTCCACTAAACAATTCAAATTGAAACGCTCCATTCAAAAGGTAAGCGAACTACTCTGCGTAACGATGTGCTAACTTATTTTCCAAAATCATGTTATTTCTTGTGCTCAGTAGGTTGAACATAAATGTCACAATTACTTGACACTGATGCTTCATCATTTCATAATAATTGGATGGATGAAGTCTTGTCGTAAGCCAGTCTTGTGGCAGACCGCGTGTAGATGGTGGTGAGGATAATGTCATCTACAAGACAGCATCCCGTATTCACAGTCACGACCAAATTCAGTAATTATTCATCAAGAAGTAGACTTGGATTCACCTAGTAGAGGTTGAACATTGCATAAATTTCTGTGAACCCAAAATAATTTTATAGTTTTACTCTGTGGTTAATCCTATGTGGTACAATGACTGTTCTTCCTCAACTTGCTTATTACTTCCTCGAGATAAATCACTCAAGTTGGACACATGTATCCCCTCCCCCATTCCAATCATATTTGAAGAAGAGAAGGAACCCAGGGAGGTCAAAAATTGCAACCTCCTTTATTGATGCGACGCGAGGGGACTACCTGCTTTGCACTCAGTCAAGTTAACAAATTTGACTCCGTTTGGGGACTTCCAAACTTGGACAACTTATTTAAGCCTCACCCGCCAAACCCATGACATGTTTATGTCATTACCGGAGTTGTGCCCTGAACATACGCCAACCACTTCTCTTACCACTGAGGCTGACAGCTTCCCCACCCTTCTGTAGCACAATAAAGTCACCTCCGGAAATACAAGCCTGGTCCTCAGGGGCAACTCAGCAGCCACATTGGAAGCAGTAGCGGAATATTTTCAATGTTTTTCGTTCTTGTGAAAAAGTATGGCA